AAAGAAAAAGATAAAGATACGGAAAGAAAAAGGTTAAGGTAAGAAAGAAAAAGGTAAAGTTAAGGAAAGAAAAAGGTAAAGGTAAGGAATGAAAAAGGTAAAGGTAAGGAATGAAAAAGGTAAAGGTAAGGAATGAAAAAGGTAAAGGTAAGGTAATGGTAAGGAAAGAAAAGGGAAAGTAAAGAGAAAGGTGTAAATAAAGTAAAAGGAGGTCATTTAATTGTTGTTTCTTTTAATCACAGTTTTTTTTACACCCCCAACAACACAATTTACATAAAAATTGAGGATGAAGTGAGGCGGGGTTAAGGTAAGGTTAAGTAAGGTAAGGTATGGTAGAGGATGACTTTTAATTCTTGTAAAAGTAGGTGTTTTTACGCGCCAATATCGACACAATTTTGATTCAGTGAGGTAAGGTAAGGTACTTTTTGGACCTACTTTAGGCTAACATCAAAGTAAATTTGTCAGAACCTTAGTTGGCAGTGACATTCATTCAAGGGCTGTTAGCTTCTGTTGGTCTCCAAACTTTAAGACCCGAATGCAAAGACTTGAGAGGATTAAACAAAGCGTTCATTTTTATCTTGTTTTAAAGACAGACAGACAAAAGTGAACGAGCTGTAGTAAAAAATAGCACCGAGCTCACAAGATATCAAATTTAAAGTTGAAGACGATAGCTGAACCCCACAGGGGCTCCTGTGGCTAAGAGAGTAGCGAGTTCAGGTTCAAAAGTAATGTCAAGCAAGTGTCGGTGACACGAGATTTAGGAGGGTGGTTACTTGGGTGTGCCTTGAGCAAGACACGATAACCCTAGCTAAAAGAAAAAAAGGGCGCTGCACAGTGGCGACCGGCAATGGCATGTTTATGAAATTGCTATGTGCCTGTGTGTGTGCGCATGTGTTTATGTATGTGTGTTTGCCACTATAACCCAAATTGCCCTAGGGGAACAAAAATTGTTATTTATTATTACTATCATTTTATGACAGAGACTCACCTTGAAGTGTTCGGGTTCGTGTCCCTCCATGTTGCGACCATCGCTCTGGTTGGCAAAGTTAAACAAATCATCCACCTGAGGAGACAAAAAGGTAGCAACCATTATAAACAGTTCATTTATGAAGGCATCAGATACCCTTGTTTAGGTGCTCATTTAGCCTCAGAAGGTAGCAACCAGAAATAATGAGTTTATAAAGGAGCCAGCCATTATTGT